TTCCAGGAACTGGCAGTAGGACTGGGAGTTGAGCTTGACTCCATCCTCAACCGAAAAGGCCCCACAAGCTCATCTTTGATGATACCAGCCCAAACCAGTACTCCACCTCCACCTTGCTGGCGTCTGAGTCGGACTGGAGCTCTCTGCCCTTTACCAATGCAGCCACGGGCCCATCCATCTGGCCCATCAAGACTCACTCATTTCATCAGTCCATAAAACCTTAGAAAAATCAGTCTTGAGATATTTCTTGGCCCAGTCTTGGCGTTTCAGCTTGTGTGTCTTGTTCAGTGGTGGTCGTCTTTCAGCCTTTCTTACCTTGGCCATGTCTCTGAGTATTGCACACCTTGTGCTTTTGGGCACTCAGTGATGTTGCAGCTCTGAAATATGGCCAAACTGGTGGCAAGTGGCATCGTGGCAGCTGCACGCTTGACTTTTCTCAGTTCATGGGCAGTTATTTTGCGCCTTGGTTTTTCCACACGCTTCTTGCGACCCTGTTGACTATTTTGAATGAAACGCTTGATTGTTCGATGATCACGCTTCAGAAGCTTTGCAATTTTAAGAGTTCTGCATCCCTCTGCAAGATATCTCACTATTTTTGACTTTTCTGAGCCTGTCAAGTCCTTCTTTTGACCCATTTTGCCAAAGGAAAGGAAGTTGCCTAATAATTATGCACACCTGATATAGGGTGTTGATGTCATTAGACCACACCCCTTCTCATTACAGAGATGCACATCACCTAATATGCTTAATTGGTAGTAGGCTTTCGAGCCTATACAGCTTGGAGTAAGACAACATGCATAAAGAGGATGATGTGGTCAAAATACTCATTTGCCTAATAATTCTGCACTCCCTGTATTTCACGAGGTCTTGGATAGTAACGTCACTTTAATTACAATTCTCATTTGGTATAAAGCAGATATATAATATGCATTGTGAGTATATACATCAAAGCACTATCACTTTAATTGTTTAGTTTTGACACTGCATTTTTTTTGTGTTTTTATTACATTCATTTAGCATTTTATATATATTCACAATGCTCTTAGAACAAATACACTTCGGCTCATTTAGCAGTAGCCCTTTTTAGTTTGTCTCCCATGTTGGAATTAGTGAAAGACCCACCGATATTGGGGTTCTGTGAAGTAGTGGTGGTGGGCTTACCACAATATAGCCATATGGTGGAACTGACTCCTCATATTTGTTTGCTGCGATATGTGTTTTTAAGTAGCCTTGTAGGATTTAAAAATTTATTTTAAAGTGTGTTGTAACAATCTGTATTTTGTATAACATTTTGGTCTGTACGGCAGCACCATTGCTGAGAATGGCATATTCCGGATGTGCCCCCAATTCGCTTTTTGTCTTTACTCGGTAAAACAAACTGCGTCCTGGATTGTTCTGTTTTGACAAACTGAAAATGTCTTCTTAAGTATGTTTGGAAATTGCATCTGTTTTTTGTCCTCTATTTCTATGAACACAGCACAGCCTATGGTATAGGAATCCGTGTCTGACAAGTAACTCATTCCATAACCATGTATACTATTATAGAGCTGGTCTCTACCTCTGCTGCCATAACAAATCCTCGCTCTTCTGTTAGAACCTGGGATTGGCCATTCAGTGAGGTCAGGTGCTGATACTGTGTGATCAGGAAAAGGATTTACCTTAAAGGTATTCAGTGTGTTTCAGGTGGGTCAGGTTCTCCTATATTAATTAAGGCCATTTCTATACGCCTCTCTCAGTGTTCAGAAATTATCTAGAATGTCGATGTATGCTGTGCTGTTAAAGGACACCCAGACCCCTTCATCTCAGTGATGTATCTCAATGAAGTGGTCTGGGTGTAGTGGTACCGTCTTTTTAACTGTGCAATTTATAATATTGCAGTTTTGTAGAAGTAGCCCATGATGAGTTAAAAACACACCTCTAGTAGCTGTCACACTGACACAGTATACAATGCTTTTCTATAAGAACCATTTTATTGGATGCACACGCTGTGTGATAATCATGTCCCCATTGCTGTTCTATGAGGAGCATTGGATTGGACGAATGCTGGAGCTGCGACACCTCCTTGATGATGTCGCAGGAGGCGGAAAGGCCAACAGCACAAAGGACATCTCGAGGGAGATATAGTGTTCTCTGTTGTAGACAGCGTACCTGCAAGGGGAAGCCTTCACCTGCACTCCTTTCAGTCTCTATAAATCGCTGTTTTGTTTCTCCTAAAAACATGTCTGAGTGTTCACATGTGCTCTGAGCCAGTGAAACAGCCCAATCAAATGATTCTCTACAACAAGCATTTGATTGGACAGCTCAAAGGCAGGGATGACTTCAGACGGAGAGGTGAAGAGCAACGCAGGCAGCTTCGCTTGATACGGGATTTCAGATAAGTTTACTAGTGTTTTCCCCGCAGGTTTTTAAAGGGGAGCCTAGCTAGTAATGCCCATTAGAGCATTATAAATATAAAAAAATATAAGTTAGACCTTTTAAGTTGTAGATCTTCACGTTTTTAAGAGAAATCAAAATTCTTTTGAAGTTTCAGAAATCAGACGGCAGTTTTTATTCCCAAGTTTCTACCAGCTTGAGATCTGTGGTCTGTAAATCTGAATAGGTTATCCACCTTGGGACAAATGTACTTCAGTCTTTGTAGTTGGTCAATATAAAACCCATTGCACAGCGCTGTGGAATTTGTTGGCGCTATATAAATAATAATGGCAACTACACAGTGTTATCACACAGGACAGCACAGATAAAAGACCACATTACAACTTGTTGCCAAGGTACAAGTGGGTCAAGGTACAAGTGACCGGGACCTTGCCAGTACCCTTAAAATTAACAATAAGCACCTTATGGGGTATTTTGTCTCCATACTGGCTGTGCCCTATAAGGGGAACAGGTAATCCGATTTTATTGGTGATGGAGGTTGTAGCTCTCACATTTGAAATCATTTTGATATTCTTAGTCTTTACACAAGGTTGCAGGCAGCCTGTCAGAGGACATATCTGGGGTAAGCAGAATCCAGGGATGTGGAATTCCTGTCGCCAGACACACAGTTCCGAGCAACAAAGCTTCAATAGAAAGTGTGTCCTAGGAGAGGGCCGAGCGCATGAAACTCTCAGATGATGACTTTGTAGCTAGGACCAAGCGTTCCTTCCCTCTGCCCAGCCTTAAGCTCCACTTCTTGGCTGAGGATTTTGTGGAGGTCTGCTCCCTGACTGGCTGTAGATTGGAGGTCGCACAGGAGCAAGAGGAACAATAGAGAGGTTGGGTGGAAGACACGTTTAGTGAAAAAGGGCCAGGAACATCAATCGGGAAGATAGGGAATAGAAACTCATAGGGGGAGATTAGAGGCAAGGACATGGAGGAAGGATTATTGCAGGAAGATAGGGAATAGACACCCATATGGGGATATTAGAGGCAAGGACATGGAGGAAGGATTATTGCAGGAAGATAGGGAATAGACACTCATATGGGGTAGATTAGAGGCAAAGACACGGAGGAAGGATTTTTGCGGGAAGATAGGGAATAGACACTCATATGGTGAGATAGAGGCAAGAGCAATGAGGAAGGATTATTGCTTTAACACTAATGGAGTTTGGTTTGGGGCAAAGACACTAATTGCGGTGAATTAGGGGACAGGAATACACAAATTAGGGCACATCTCACACACAAGTACACCCCAAACTACACACAACCTGCATACACACCCATTCAGTTGGGGCACAATAGCTCCCTCACGCATGCCCCTCTGCGGGGTAAAAGGTGTTAAATACCCCTTCTGTACTTAAACGATTAGAGAGCCAATGTCCCTCGGCACTGGTTCAGTCTCCACTTTTGCCAATGTCTGGAGGCAGGGGGGGGGGGGGGGAAAGGACCTAACACGCGTCAATCACATTAGTACTTTTTTTATGCAGTTTGAGGATGTCCAGCATCATTTACCAGATAAATGTCCCTAGAGTGGCTGTCTGATAGATGCACTAGAGGTGCAGTTAACCCTGCAAGGTATTTATTGCAGTTTATCAAACGCTGCAATAATTACCATTGCAGGATTCAGGGGACTGGGACCTTAAATGAGCTTAAGTGGTCTGGGTGCCTATAGTGTCTCTTTAAATCTGAATGTAAAAATAGACAAAAAGTGGTGCTATAGCGGTTGGAGAATTTTCCAGATCTGCTTTGTCAGTTTCCCAATTAGGATTTAACTAGTGAAAATTCGGAGTTTACTGAATAACCTGGTCTATGACCAGGACTCTAGGCAGGTATCCCAATCTGAAATTCTGTGTCAGGACAAGTAGATTCTTTTAATGTCTGCACCCATTATGCAGTTAGATGGCTTGGTACACATGTTACACAGTAACCATATTCTGTGTAATTTATTAGGGACGGGTTTCTTGTAACAATCCGTGCACACAATAAAGATTTGTTAAAGCTGGCTGTGTAGCCTGTGTTCTCATTAAGGGACTAACTGCAATAGGAACAATACAAGCATGCAGTGTTTGCACTGACACCCCCACCCACCTCTTTGCAAGCACAGTCTGTCATCCATCAGGTCAGCATGCATTATACCAAACAGAGCCTTCAAGCAGCAGCTACAATGGCAGATAATGCTGAACAGAGCCATGTTTTGTGATAGTACAAAGTTCCCAATAATATTAAAGGGACACTCCACTCACCTTTCTAATACCATCTAGACTGCGTCTGTCCAATCACAGACTTCCCAATGCAGCTCAATGAAAATTCTTAGCAAGGCAGGTGCTCTGAGCAATTGCTGCCGCTTGAGCTTATCTTTACTGAACAAACCAAAAGGTAACAGGATTAGTTTCCCAACAGCAAGTGGGATGTAGCCAGGTTCATTTATAAAAGTGTCAATTTTCTATTGAAATCTACATTTTGTAAAATGAATTTAAAAAAACAAACATAATTTAAGCAAGTTAAAGTTCTCTAGAGATCCAGTGTGTCCCTTTTATGGGGACACCAGATTTGGCAAGTTCAATGGAAAGAATAGTTATTTTCAGTTTTTTTATTCAATAAGTCAGCATGCATCAAGAATCTGATGACCCCCCCCCCCCCATTAAAAAGACAACACAAATGTTATTTTTCAGCTTTTATTTTTGTACAAGGCAGCACATTTCAAAGCAATCCTCTTAGAAATTCCTGTAAAGAAGATAATACGCAGACATTAGATTTTCACATTAATACCATATTTAACAATACGCTAATCTAGAAATTTATAAAATGTGTACATTCTAATATAAACAGAATAAATTAATCTATGCTCAAACCCAACCCGATTCTCCCTGATATCCCTGGCACAATATGCAAATGAATGACTATGCCAGATAGGGCATATGGGATAGATTAAATGCACAGAGGGGATTCTTGAAAGAAATGTTTATATTCCAGAAACTTACTTTGAAACAATACCATCATTTTTTGCCAGCCTCAGAATGGAGTCATCAGATTCTCCCTGTAAAGAAAACACAAACAATAAAAATGATATCACGTTTTATTTCATGATCCTTTGCCTGGAAATATCAAGCATCAGGGCTGAAAATTGCACTAGTGAGCAGAAACCAACATATTCTATGTTTCTATTTATATTTATGTTATGGGTTAAAAAGAACAGATGGTAATTTGCTATGATGTACCATGAGAACTCTGGAATGTTGGTGATTAAAGTCGTCATACATGTCCTTATATGGGCAGAGTTTTAGTCATTATGGCCATAGCTATATAGAATAGTGGACAAAAGACCCCGAGGCTTATTGTCCGTGTGTTCTCCCTTCCTGAGTCAAGCAATATCGGCTTTATTATATTAGTAACTGTAGGCAGAGCAAATCTAAAGAATACGTAAGTAATGCGTATTAATATTTGTAACCGACACACAGAAGAATTATATTATATAAACATCACAGCGAAGAAGAAGAGAACCATAAAAAAATACAAGTGCCTGTTCTACGTATAATCAGTTTAAAGAGCACAGGAATTGGAAAAAGGCATCAATTTGTGCGTATGTTAAAAAGACAGCCCAGTTTACACAAGCGCCAATTTTATCTAGACAGGCTCCTCCCAGGGGTGGAGCAGAACAGTGGCAAAAGTGTACTCGGCAGTTGACAAATAAAACTATCAGATGAGGGTGCCCTAGAACCTGGCAGTTACAAGGTGAAACGCTCGAAACAATCTATATTTGTTTAAACCTTGAAGTGAAGAACACTTACAGTCAGTCAGTCAAGGTAACCTTACGGTGACTGTGAATGACACCCTGGTCCCAAAACCGCACTGATCAATGTTTGATGCTACTTGACTCACTGGGGGTAGGATGGCTACACAAAATTTGATAGTCCTGAAACTCATGAGAATGCTAGTCACGGGTCTAAAAGAATGGTTTAAAGGGTTACTCCAAGCACCATAACCACTTCAAAACACTGGAATCTGTATATGCTGCTTCAGTACAAAACACTGTACAGATTAATATGCTATTAGCCAGCCTGTAACAATAGCGCTGGGCAGACTAAAGTAAATTCTGTGCATATGCCCTGCAGAGAGCATCATTTATTGGCGGAGAGCGTTCACCCAGCTAGGAAGTGACTCAGCACCTAACAAGGACCCAGGTAATAGGACAAACCATTAGAAAATGTTTTACCCCATTACTGGGGAATGGCACTGGGGTATTCCTTGCATCAAAACCTGCACAGAGGGCTGTAGTGGCTATGTGTAGTCATTCTGTGTGCATTATTTTCCTCTAGTAATGCTCAATCATTAGGCTCAACTATTAAAGTAGAGATTCTGAGAAAAGCATTACATACCATCCGGCGAATTGTACCGCAGATTGCATAAGTCTTGCACTGACCAGTAACTCTTCCTGTGACTTTATCCAGCTGAAAGTGAAACCAACAGATTACAAGTGGGTCAATGAGGCCACAAATCAACTCTACATTATTGCAAATAACTGAAATTGGCCAATCTAAACAAGTCAACATGAAGTGCAATCCAGTCCACCTCTACATTACCCATATAGAAAGGGAACAAATCAATGCAATAGCCTTTAGGGCAAAATTCTAAGTAATTTAAACAAGTCTAAATTGATTTACGAAGGAGGTTTGACTAAGTGAGGAAAGCTCTAGATTGGCTGCCTTCAGCAAAGTACAAAATATTTTTCAGCTTGGGAGATTATACCAAGTAGGGATCGACAGGATATTGATTTTTTTGAGCCGATACTGATAATCTGAACTTTCAGGCCGATATACAGAGTATCTGTAAGTTATCAGCTACTCTGTATATTTACCATTTTGAAGAAAAAAAAATTCTACACAAATCTACTGTTAACTGAACATGTTTATTTTTGCAGTTTTTTTAAAGTGGTAAATGCACAAAATATACATGCCAGTCAGATTTGCTTTAAGTTTGCAAGAATATTTACTGTCCCTCTGCCTCCCCCTGTCCCTTAGTGTTCCTCAATGTTTCCTTCTGTCCATTAGTGTTCTGCTGCACCCCACATCCCTTAGTGTTCCTCAATGTTTCCCTCACTGTCCATTAGTGTTTCCCCATAGAAATTCAGATGTAAAGTCATAAGAGCTAAACGGGGAAGAATGGTTTGTTTGATTAAATAAAATAACCATAGCAGTAAAGGAATATATCCTATAAAAATAAAGAACTGTAGGACCCTCACCTCCGCAATGTTCATCTGGATTGAAGCATGGTCCTTAGCACCAATAATTCTGTTGCTTGCAGAGCTGAAAGGTAAGAGACCAATGGTCACCAGTGAGATGAATATAGTGAAAACAACCATCAATGAATGGCAAAGTAAATGGGAGGCCTGACAAAATAAGCTGCTTTATCCTTCAAACACCTAGGAAAACACACATTTAAAGGGAAACTATAGTGCTTGGAAAACTCAGTAGCACTATAGTGACCTACAATGCCCCCCTGATTCGCGGCACTGGAAGGGTTTAAAAACCATTGTGTCACTTTCCTGATTCTAGCGCCGATGTCCCTCGGAGCTGGGTCAGGATGCAGCTCCTCCACCAATGTGAGCTGGCGGGGAATCAAACTCATGCGGTGCGCACTGGCATTAGTACTACCCCATAGGAAAGCATTACTCAATGCTTTTCAGATGACGCTGGATGTCCTCATGCAGAGCGTGATGACGTCCAGCATCGGGCAACTGACCAAAAGTCGCCTAACCACATGGAAGTGCCTCAAATAGCTGTCTGGTACTTGCCACTAGAGGTAGAGTTAACCCTGCAAAGTAATTATTGCAGTGTATCAATAACTGCAATAACAACCATTGCAGGGTTAAGGGGACTGGGACATTGCACCCAGACCACTTCAATGAGCTGACGTAATCTGGGCTCCTAAAACGTCTAATCAAAGATTCTTTTAAAAATGAGATTTTAACAAGGCTGAACTCCTCATAGGCTAAGGGTACTTATTAGACTCAAGTCACACACACACACAAAAAAAAAGGGAGGTGCAAAACATATGTCCAAGTGAAGTGGACAGGACAAAAGTCAAAGGATGGAGTCTTGTTTAATTAGGGAGGAGTTCATATCCAATCTAGGAGTGGGAAGTGATGCCCTGGATATATCCAGGAAATAAGATTTTAACAAGCATTTTTCAAAATAGCTTTTAATATGCATGGTTAAATGCTACAAAGTGACAGGTCCAGGTTACAACCATCACTTTATACAACTGTTACAGTTTGGTGTAAGAGGGAAAACGGGAAATTCAGCTAAAATGGCAATACGCAATCTGTGCAACACTGATTTTTCAAACATGTAAAACCCCAATCTGCAAAGACTTTCCTGATAATTATCTGCTTCATGTAGACTTCAAACAATAGATTTACTCTTGAGATGTACAATAATGCAACTTACCATTTACGGGGGACGTACAAGTCCACAAATTCTCCAGCGTCGTTCTGCATTTTGCTGAATAGTCACACGATGACCTGTAATGTGTGCATGTTTACTGGTTAGATTTTATTTTCTATAATTATGCCAAGTTAATAAAGGCAGAGAAACTTTAAAAATACTTAAAGGACCACTATAGTGCCAGACTATAGGGTCATTAGGTCCCCCCACCTCGCCGGGCTGAATTGGTTAAAATCCCCTCAGCCACCTACCTTTCTCCAGCGCGGGGCTCACCAACATTAAATACAAAGCTGGCAAATGGCCCCTGGGAGCCCATTTAGAGTGAACTGGCAGTTTACGCAAAGCCGGTGAGGGGCCCCTGGCAGTTTATACAGGGGCAGTGAGGGGCCCCTGGCAGTTTATACAGAGCTGGCGAGGGGCCCCTGGGAGCCCATTTAGAGTGAGGGGCCCCTGGCAGTTCACACAGAGCCGGTGAGGGGGCCCCTGGCAGTTCACGCAAAGCCGGTGAGGGGGCCCCTGGCAGTTCACGCAAAGCCGGTGAGGGGGCCCCTGGCAGTTTACGCAAAGCCGGTGAGGGGGCCCCTGGCAGTTTACGCAAAGCCGGTGAGGGGGCCCCTGGCAGTTTACGCAAAGCCGGTGAGGGGCCCCTGGCAGTTTACGCAAAGCCGGTGAGGGGCCCCTGGCAGTTTACGCAAAGCCGGTGAGGGGCCCCTGGCAGTTTACGCAAAGCCGGTGAGGGGCCCCTGGCAGTTTACGCAAAGCCGGTGAGGGGCCCCTGGCAGTTTACGCAGAGCCGGCGAGGGGCCCCTGGCAGTTCATACAGAGCCGGTGAGGGGCCCCAGGCAGTTCATACAGAGCCGGTGAGGGGGCCCCTGGCAGTTCATACAGAGCCGGTGAGGGGGCCCCTGGCAGTTCATACAGAGCCGGTGAGGGGGCCCCTGGCAGTTCATACAGAGCCGGTGAGGGGGCCCCTGGCAGTTCATACAGAGCCGGTGAGGGGCCCCAGGCAATTCATACAGAGCCGGTGAGGGGCCCCTGGCAGTTCATACAGAGCCGGTGAGGGGCCCCTGGCAGTTCATACAGAGCCGGTGAGGGGCCCCTGATCTGGGGACATACTAAAAGGAATGACAGATTGGAATGCCCATAGACTTTGACAAGGCAGTGGAATGCCCATAGAGAATAATGGAAGTGAAAGGAATGCCCATAGAGAATAATGGAAACAAAATATTTCAATTAGAGACAAAACTATTACACATATGAAATCCATATTTTGCCACAATATTCTCCAGATTCAGTGTCAATTTTTGAAATTGAAATTAAGTGGGATTATCATTGTTTTCTATAGAATGACAATGGTGAATGACTAAAGAGAATGCCCATAGAATATAATGGGAGGCAACACAAAAACTCATTTGCAGGTAAATCTGTGCTGTGTAGCAAATTCATCTTTTCCACAGGTGTTCCCCAAGTACAGCAGTAGATTGTAAAAGTAAATTTATCTGGGATTATAGCTCTTTTCTATGGAATGACAGGTAAATGATGCAATGGAATGCCCTTAGAGTATAATGGGAAGCAATATGTGACTTGGTATCTGAACCGTAAAACATATCAAGTAAAGCTTTTGCAGGCATACTCTGCGCGTTCAGTGGCAATTTTTTTAAATTGAGATTAAGTGGGATTATCATTGTTTTCTATAGAATGACAATGGTGAATGACTAAAGAGAATGCCCATAGACTATAATGGGAGGCAACACAAAAACTCATTTGCAGGTAAATCTCTGTTATGTAGCAAATTTATCTTTACCACAGGTGTTCCCCAAGTACAGCAGTAGATTCTAAAATTAAAAATAACTGGGATTATAGCTCTTTTCTATGGAATGACAGGTAAATGATACAATGGAATGCCCATAGAGTATAATGGGAAGCAATATGTGACTTGGAATCTGAACCGTGAAACATATCAAGTAAATCTTTTGCAGGCATACTCTACAAGTTCAGTGGCAATTTTTGAAATTGAGTTTACGTGGGATTATCATTGTTTTCTATAGAATGACAATGGTGAATGACTAAAGAGAATGCCCATAGACTATAATGGGAGGCAACACAAACTAATTTGCAGGTAAATCTCTGTTGTGTAGCAAATTCATCTTTTCCACAGGTGTTCCCCAAGTACAGCAGTAGATTCTAAACCTAAAAATAACTGGGATTATAGCTCTTTTCTATGGAATGACAGGTAAATGATACAATGGAATGCCCATAGAGTATAATGGGAAGCAATATGTGACTTGGAATCTGAACCGTGAAACATATCAAGTAAATCTTTTGCAGGCATACTCTACGAGTTCAGTGGCAATTTTTTGAAATTGAGATTAAGTGGTATTATCATTGTTTTCTATAGAATGACAATGGTGAATGACTAAAGAGAATGCCCATAGACTATAATGGGAGGCAACACATAAACTCATTTGCAGGTAAATCTGTGTTGTGTAGCAAATTCATCTTTTCCACAGGTGTTCCCCAAGTACAGCAGTAGATTGTAAAAGTAAAAATAACTGAGATTATAGCTCTTTTCTATGGAATGAAATGTAAATGATACAATGGAATGCCCATAGAGTATAATAGGAAGCAATATGTGGAATCTGAACCATGAAACATATCAAGTAAATCTTTTGCGGGCATACTCTCCAGGTTCAGTGTAAATTTTTGAAATTGCCCGAGACCCATGTGCAGCGACGGAACTGCCGCCAGTGCAGTTGCACTTGGGGCCGCACGCTAATGGGGCCCATCGGGTGGCCCACACACTTAGGGCCACCCGATGGGCCCTATATCTTCAGGGGCACTGTCAGCGCTGTGACCGTGTTATAGCGCAACAGGGCCCCTTGCATAAAAAAAAATGCAGCCGTAACGCAAGTGCTGCTCGGAGGAAGTGACGGCCGGTCACTTCCTCCCAGCTCACTATGCGCAGGAGGAGAGCCAGCGTGGAGGCCTTGAAGAGGGAGAGCCATGCTGACTCCTATCAGCCCCAGTCACCCTCCTGCAAAGAAACAGTAAGAAACAGGAGGGTGGCTGACAAATGAGCTGTCTGTGTCAGTGTGTATGTCTGTCATTATGTATATATGTATGTCTGTCAGTATGTGTATATATGTAGGTCTGTCAGTATGTATATATGTATGTATGCATGAGTATGAATGTATGTCTGTATGAATGTATATCTGTGTGTATGTATGGATGTCAGTGTCTGTATGCATGCATGTCAGTATGTATATATGTATGTATACCAGTACCAATGTATGTCTGTATGTCAATATGAATGTATGTCTGTGTGTATGTATGTATGTGTGTGTGTATGGATATCAGTGTCTGTATGCATGTATATATGTCTATCAGTATGTATGTATGCCAGTGTCAGTGTATGCCAGTATGAATGTATGTCTGTGTGAATGTATGTCAGTGTTTGTATGTCCTTATGCGTGTGTGTGTCTAAATATAGGGCTTAGAAGAGCGACCTCAAGACATGTCTCCAAGCCTTCTGGGTATGAGAGCCAGGAATCTTACTTCCCAATTCTCATACTGTAACATACCTTGACGTTACGCATGCATGCACAGTGCTGTCATGGTCGGCAATAGAGAATCATTGCATGTGCCTCAGGCACACAATACTCCTCTCTGATGTGCATTGGATAGACCCATCATCCGGGTGGCGCTAAAGCAGGAGGGGGCATCAAGTCTGGAAGGGTGAGTGTGGCAAACCTAGCCACTTGGACAATATAAAGAGACTGTACCTTTAAGGGTTGCCTGTATGGTTGTGGGGTATGTGTGTGCATAAGTATAATGTATGCTGGCTGTAATACCTTGTATTTCCTGTATTGGCTATCTGCCGAACACAGATAGCTGTATTCCATTTCGTTTCACGAACGGCACCTTTGCGGGCCGTTCGTGAACCGAAATAACCACCATGTAATAGCCCACACACTTAGAGGTGCTGAACTTCCAGGCTGTTCGGGAGTTCCGGGCCGTTCGGTATTATATTCCCTATACTTCAATCGGTCTTTTGAATGTGTGTTTTAATGAATATGTTTTTCGTGCGGCGTTCGGTTGTTTTAGCTGGGATCTGAGCGGTAATCTCACGAATGATGCGCTCAGACCCCAGCTATCTACCGAACGTCCATTCGTGCAAATAGTCCAAATAGTCGAAGAACTGTACATTTTAAAGTAAATCCACTTAACGGTATATTCCAGTGGGAGGATCCCTCTCGTGCAGCAGTGCCTGATGGGGGAAAGGCTCTGTACATTAAGTTCCCCACGTAGTCCACTCTGGGAATGCCCCTGGGATGTGACTCAGGAAACCCCTTGCATGGGGAATTGTATAAATTGCAGAGCCTGTGAATAAAGCCTTCAGTTGACTCTCAGAACTGTGTTTCGTCCGGTTACTGGGAGATTTGGGATATTGCCTTGCTTTTCAGCGCTTGACTGTGGATTACTTTCTGAACCAGCGGAATTCATGGATTTAATACTGCCGATCTGCTACAGTGAGTAATTATTTTGATTTTTTTTTTTTTACTCTTTAGAGGGGGAGACTATAGCGGATCGGCAATATTAAATCCCACGAATTCCGCTGGTACAGAAAGTAATCCAGAGTCAAGCGCTGAAAAGTAAGGCAATATCCCAAATCCCCCAGTAACCGGACGAAACACAGTTCTGGGAGTCAACTGAGGTCTTTAATCACATGCTCCAGTATTTATACAATTCCCCATGCAAGGGGTTTCCTGAGTCACATCACAGGGGCATTACAGGAGTGGACTACATGGGAAACTTAATGTACAGGGCATTTCTCCCATCAGGCACTGCTGCACGAGAGGGGCACTCCCACTGGAATGTACCGTTAAGTGGATTATCCCTCTGTTCAGCAGAACCGACAAGTTACATTAAAATCTATAACTTCAATAATATTTGGCAGATTTAAATGAATGGACGTTCGGTAGATAGCTGGGGTCTGAATGCACAGTTCGTGAGAACCCCGCTCAGATCCCAGCTAAAACAACCGAACGCGCACGAAATACACTTTGCCATAGAGTTTGCCCCAAAATACCGTTTGCGCCGTCGAGTAGCTGTTTTCAGTTCCATGCGCTCGACGACCAAACACCGCTGGGGGGGAACAAAGGATCCAAGATGGCTGACCGCCGTGTGGTCGGTAGCCCGAACGACGGCCACCTAGGAGAGCCTCTAATTACCAATTGCAACATTGTTGCAATCGGTTAACAAGCGCCACACGTCCCTTAGTGTGTGGGCTATTAAAAGATAGTTAATTCGGTTCACGAACAGCTCGCAAAGGCGCTGTTCGTGAAACGAAACACAGTAAGGCTACCTGCTTTCGGCAGATAGCTGACAGATCAATGAAACATACAGAGAAGGCAGTCAATTACAGCCAGGCACATAGTACAGCACAATAAAGATACAGGCAACTTTTCCCACATATTGTCCAAGTTAGTCCAAGTGGCTAGTTTTGCCACAGAGACCTATTTATTAAGGTGCATCAGGACTGTAGTGTAAAGAATACAGATATGTATACCTAATCAGTGGTGTATTTAGGTTTTGTGCTGCCCTAGGCAGGACGGTGCTCGGGCACCCCCCCTAATTAAAATTTTCCCCACCCCTTCATGTCAAGGCTGCACTTTGACTGACAGACGCACACTTACTGACAGACTCACACAGTCACTGACAGACACACACTCTCATATACACTGACAAAAAAATGACATACACACACTCACTGATTTGACACACTGATAGACAGACATACACTTAGACACACACTCACACTGACAGACGCACGCACTGACTGACAGACACACACTCACTCATTGAAACACACACATTCACTGACACACACATTCACTGAAACACACACTCACATTCACTGACACACTCACATTCACTGACTCACATTCACTAACACACATTTTCTCACACTCGCAATTATTATTATTATTTTTTTTTATTTATTTAAATCCACCCAGCCTCCCTACGTTTGGGATAGCTGCGTGGACTTCTCACCTGGGGTCCAGTGGGGCTGCTGGGAAGGGAGGCGGTCAGATGTGCAGTTTTCAGTGAGGGAGCACTTTCTCCCTCGCGTGCCGCAGAGTGATGCCGGGAGCCGGAATATGATGTCATATTCCGGCTCCCGGCATCATTGCGGGTTGCATTGAAAGTGCTGCCTTGCCGCCCGCCCAGGAAGCCACTGGCCGCCTGCCCCGGGGGAGCCTAGTGGGGAGATAATGGCTGTGGTATGGGGTCAGGGGCTGAATTGGGGAATGGCTGCAGTTGGAGAAAAAAAGGCTGTAATGTGGGGGATATGAGCTGCAATTGGATAAGAGTGACTGTAGTGGGGGATAGGGACTGTGGTAAGAGAATAGGGGTTTTAGTTGGAGGGATAGAGGCTGTAGTAGGGAAGTTAGGGGCTGCAGTGGGGGATAAGGACTATAGTGAGGGGTTCTGGGCTACATTTGGGGGTAGGTACTGTAGTGTGGGATAGGTGCTGCAGTAGGGGTGGGGGTATGGGACTGTAGTAGGGTGCTTAGGGCTGTAGTGGGGGATATGAGCTACTTTGGGGTATGGGGGTTCAGTGGGAATAAGGGGCTGTAGTGGAGGGGTTCGGTGCTGTAGTTGGGTTAGGGGCTGTTGTTGGATTAAAGGGGCTTTAGTAGGGAGTTTGGGGCTGTAGTAGGGTATGGAGGCTGCAATTTTACAGTAAGGGGCTTGTAACGGATCACCTGGTACCCCGATTGGGCACCTCCGTTGACGGACGCTTCCTAGCTGACGCCGAGGACCATAACCACGCACCGGAAACCACAACCACCGCAGACTCCACAACCGCCGTAGCTTAACTGGAGTCACACCGTCTTCCTTCCACCCTGGATCAACCTCTGTCCTCCAGGACCGTGTGGGAAAGACCTCTCCTCCAGGAGAGCGTATCAGGAACAGCTCTTAAAAGAGCTAAGTGATTAGAGCTCAGGGGAGTATAAAAGTATAGCAGTTCCCTACAATAACGAGACAAGACTATGTATTGAAGGTTAAGCAGGAACAGAAGGAACTGAGGCTTTATTTATTTATTTTTTTATAATTTATATTTTATTGTAGTTTGCACATACAAATTACAACTGTTCGCAGTATGAGATAAGTAAGAAAAAAATAAAACAGTAGTTACACATGGTCTAAGATGAGGCAATACATACATAATGTCACCTAAGAGGTAAGTATGAAACCATGTGTTACATTCAGGGCCACCCTTAGGCCTTTAGGCGCCCTGTGCGAAAAATCTTCACAGCGCCCCCCCCTCCCCCGTCATCCATGTATGATGTAATGTTTGTGTTGTCTGTGTATGTGATAGGTGTGATGACTGTGTGATATATATGCTATGTGTGATATCTGTATTGGGTGTATTAACTGTGTGTGTATTGGTTGTATGTGATATTTGTGCTGGGTTTATTGGCTGTGTGTGTTGGGTATTTAATTCAAATAAAAACATGCATTTAGGCTTGTGTGTGAATGCAGGTGTATATTTTTGCAGAGTTATGTGCACACAGTCCCACAGTCAGATGAACACAGTAAAGACACCACATGCACATAGTCGCAGGCAGATAGTCACATACACAGGATCAGGCAGTAACACACATACACAGTTACAGGTAGATAAACATACTCACACACAATTACAGGCAGGCAGACAGCCACACACACACAGGCAGACAACCACACATACAGTCTTACACACACACACACACAGCCACACACACATACTTACATGCAGACAGTCACACACACAGGGAGACAGCCACACACATACACAGGCAGACAGCCACACACAGGCAGACAGTCACACACACAAACACACACAGGAAGACAGCCACACACACACACAGTCACACACATACACACAAACACACACAGGCAGACAGCCACACACACACAGTCACACACGTACAGTCACACACACACAGGCAGACAGTCACACACGCAGACAGTCACACACGCAGGCAGACAGCCACACACACACACACAAACACACAGAGGCAGACAGCCACACAGAAGCAGACAGCCACAAACACACACACACACATAGGCAGACAGATACACACACAGACTCTGGCAGACAGTCAGATTTAGTTCAATTAGACGAACGGCAACCATTTGTGCAAACAGTCAATGTTAAAGTGCTGTTCGAATTGTCAAACGGTTTTCGACTCCAGTCGAAGCGTCGAAGTCTGGAGAAGGTAAAGTTCAGCGGTGTTCGTCCCGTCGCATATCCGATTTGAGTTCCATGAACTTGACAACTAGACACCGCTGAACGCTTTCGACTGAATTAAAATGGCCGCCGCCACGTGTTCGTATGTCGAATGGCAGCTTCTTCGACTACTTCGGCACTTCAGCTGCATCCGAAGTGCCACTTCAAAAGTGCAGAACTGTACCAGTACCATTTAAAGGGGCAGAAACAGTGCTCCAAAATACAATAGGCACAAATAGAGTTTTTAAAGGGCAATACAACCCAGGGGCCATAATCACAGGGCAAGAGGCTGTCAAGAAGGCCTCTCCAAAAGCCAATGAAGAAGGGTAGTTTGTTACAGGGCTGTAGTAGGGGGTTATGGGTTAAAGTAGAGTATGGGGGCTGTAGTGGGGACTAAAGGACTGTAGTAGGGTGTAGGGTCTGTAGTAGGGGGATGTGGGCTGCAATTAAGGGTTAGGGGCTGTAGTTGTAGGCTAAATGCTGTAGTCTAAATTGTCTAAGGAGGGATGCTATGTTTAACTTGCTATGTCTTTCAGATTTCCTTACAAAAGAGTTGATATACACTATACTCGATGGGCATTCCATTGTATCATTCACCTGTCATTCCATAGAAAAGAGCTATAATCCCAGTTACTTTTAATGTTACAATCTGCTGCTGTACTTGGGGAACCCCTGTGGCAAAGGTTAATTTGCTATGTAACACAGATTTCCCTGCAAATGAGTTTATATTCTACTTCCCATTATACTCTATGGGCATTCTCTTAATTCATTCACCATTGTCATTCTATAGAAAACAATGATAATCCCACTTAATCTCAATTTCAAAAAATTGCCACTGAACGCGCAGAGTATGCCTGCAAAAGATTTACTTGATATGTTTTACGGTTCAGATACCAAGTCACATACTGCTTCCCATTATACTCTATGGGCATTCCATTGCATCATTTACCTGTCATTCCATAGAAAAGAGCTATAATCCCAGTAATTTTTAATTTTAGAATCTACTGCTGTACTTGGGGAACACCTGTGGAAAAGATGAATTTGCTACATAACACAGATTTACCTGCAAATGAGTTTATGTGTTGCCTCCCATTATAGTCTATGGGCATTCTCTTTAGTCATTCACCATTGTCATTCTATAGAAAACAATGATAATCCCACTTAATCTCAATTTAAAAAAATTGCCACTGAACTCGCAGAGTATGCCTGCAAAAGATTTACTTGATATGTTTTACGGTTCAGATACCAAGTCACATATTGCTTCCCATTATACTCTATGGGCATTCCATTGCATCATTTACCTGTCATTCCATAGAAAAAAGCTATAATCCCAGTTATTTTTAATTTTAGAATCTACTGCTGTACTTGGGGAACACATGTGGTAAAGATAAATTTGCTACATAACACAGATGTACCTGCAAATGAGTTTATCTGTTGCCTCCCATTATAGTCTATGGGCATTCCCTTTAGTCATTCACCATTGTCATTCTATAGAAAACAATGATAATCCCACTTAATCTCAATTTCAAAAATTGCCACTGAACTCGCAGAGTATGCCTGCAAAAGCTTTACTTGATATGTTTCACGGTTCAGATTCCAAGTCACATATTACTTGCCATTATACTCTATGGGCATTCCATTGCATCATTTACCTGTCATTCCATAGAAAAGAGCTATAATCCCAGTTACTTTTAATTTTAGAATCTACTGCTGTACTTGGGGAACACCTGTGGAAAAGATAAAATTGCTACATAACAGAGATTTACCTGCAAATGAGTTTATGTGTTGCCTCCCATTATAGTCTATGGGCATTCTCTTTAGTCATTCACCATTGTTATTCTATAGAAAACAATGATAATCCCACTTAATTTCAATTTCAAAAATTGACACTGAATCTGGAGAATATTGTGGCAAAATATGGATTTCATATGTGTAATAGTTTTGTCTCTAATTGAAATATTTTGTTTCCATTATTCTCTATGGGCATTCCTTTCACTTCCATTATTCTCTATGGGCATTCCACTGCCTTGTCAAAGTCTATGGGCATTCCAATCTGTCATTCCTTTTAGTATGTCCCCCTGATCTGGGATATAAATCTGTCTCGGTCTCGCACAATGAGGCCTACCAAGCCCCGCTGTTTCCCAGCTCTCTCCCCGGCCACGTGTTCCCGCTCTCCCGGCCTTCCTCCCCCGGGGCCCACATCTCTCTCCCCGCGGCTCCCGGGGGCCCGAGCCCGCTCCCGGGGCCCTCTCTCCCCGGCCGGGACCCGGCTCCACCCGGCTCCACCCGGCCAGCACCCCGCAGCCCCGAGCTCACCTCCTGCTCGCGGCAATGGCTGAAAGAAAGAGGCGGAAACGGCGACCCGGAAGGAGAGACGTCACCACCGAGAGCAGTACTTCCGGGTCACGGGAACAGGAAGTCAGAGCTCCCAAAAAATAATAATAAATAATAATAATAATAATAAAATAATAATAATAATAAAATAATAATAATAATAAAGTCATACAGCAACACTGGGAATATAATACCAAGAGTATTAATAAAATATTACTAATTATAGTCTAATCTCTGCAACATCTCATAATTACAGCTTTATATCTAATAATAATAATAATAAACATCTCTTAAAGGGATACTGTGGGGTAAAACGGCCCCAATAGAAATAAAATATAAAACCAAACCCACGCCTTCAGTTACCCACAATGCACTGTGT